CATCATAGCAGTAAGACTGGGGTCAATGTGTTAAGACAATCATAGCAGTAAGACTGGAGTCAATGTATTAAGACAATCATAGCAGTAAGACTGGAGTCAGTGTATTAAGACAATCATAGCAGTAAGACTGGAGTCAATGTATTAAGACAATCATAGCAGTAAGACTGTAATCAGTGCACCAAGATCACATGTGTTAAACAGCGTTCTCTCAGAAACGTTATTTTTAGTTCTTTTGTGTGAAATCGGTTTATGAAACCAACTACAACAATCACGTTTACAAAACTTACAGCCTTGAATTCCTTTCGAAGATTTCGTGTTAGGTCCACGCTCTTTTTGTTTATTTTCTGTATGGCCACCACTTGGCCTCGGTAAGTCCCTACCAATGTAAAAATCTGTGCTTGCATCCTGCCTCCAGATCCACCAGAATCTATCGATCTCATGCTCATCTATGTCAAAAATACAATTCAGTATTAAACGAGAAACAATAATTAATATATCAATTTTAAACGGCAAACGATTTCACAGCCATGAGAAGTTTTTTTTTAACATTATTTACATTTATCGATGGCGCTAATCAGGAAGATGTAGTATTCACACTTACCCTACTGCCAATGTTAAATTGAGACGCGTTTATCGAGTCCTTCATCTTAATTTCTCTGTAGTCTATCTTCCATATTAGACTAGCTAAGGCCTGCTCGTACTTCCAATTCCTGTAATAAATACACATGGCATGTAACGATTCGTAATCTACATTCGTGTCTCCGTTCATGTGGGTCAACAATGTGATATGACGTAATCATTCTTTGTGCGTGTCTCAATCGGTGAGATGTTGTTGATCATGTTGATGAAATTTCCAATAAATGCTAGTAATCTCCTTTTGTTACAGATTACAAGAATTTCTATTTGGTTCACAGTAATTTTGGAGATAAACATATCGATATAGTAAAGGAAATGGACATCTGCTTCAAAGTTAATGACTTGCCAATCAAAAACAGAAACAGAGATAGGAATTCTGTTCAGTGTAGAAATTGGCACTCACTCGTGCCTTTGTTTTTCTATCTTTAAATTTTGCGCCACTTTATGTCCCACTTGCTGTACGAAAAACTTATTGTGAGAATATGTATTGTTAAAATATTGACGAAAGCATCGTAATTTGTAATATTGTTGTATGATAAGGAATATTGATGATGACATTTGATTATTACTGATCATGATCTATCAAATAAGTTGCTTTTGCAATTCACTATCCGTTCGATGAAAATGAACAAATACTAATGACGCATGTGCAGTGATTGTTACTGCACATACCAAAACAATCTGTGCGCATGCGTATTCGTAAACACTTAGTTTTGCATATGACGTATTTAGTTTATCGTTATTCACGTTATTCTCTTAAATCCCCAAACAACAAAGTTAAAAACAAACATGTTATCATCCGTACTGTATATTTAAATAATTTATTTAATATTTTATCTGGCGAGGAACAACATGAAATAACCGAATGTAAAGTAAACCCGTTGTTTTAGCAAGGAAACATCACAGTATCGATAAATAATGTAAAACGCAGATGCACATTGACAGATACCCAAACCCATTTTCTGTATCTCATCGAACACCGCTATGCTTACTGTCAACGCAATTTCATTATTTGACAATACATTATAAGATACTGTTTTTTTTCTCACCAAGATGCATATTTTTAACATGTTCAAATATACTCCAAGACATCAACAAATTATCAGCATGATAAATAAATAAAAAAATTAAAACCAGCTTACCTGTACACAAGACCCAACACGATAAGTAGTATTAGGAAGAGACCACCAATCGTGCCCCCTGCAATCTCTGGTGTGTAGTTTGGTATTGTGGGACATAATTCCCCACGGAACCCACAAATCGGTACAGCTCTCGGTGGGAAACCAGCAATCCATTGTATTGTGTAGTTCCCGTATTTAACATACAACTGCGGATGAATAAATCATATTAGTTTTTTATAATCACAACGTATACGTTATACTATCAAATTGTGATTTTGCGTACTACGAATTATGATTTTGCGTTATACGAATTGTGATTTTGCGTACTACGAATTATGATTTTGCGTTAAACGAATTATGATTTTGCGTTATACGAATTGTGATTTTGCGTTATACGAATTGCGATTTTGCGTTATACGAATTGTGATTTTGCGTTATACGAATTGTGATTTTGCGTTATACGAATTGTGATTTTGCGTACTACGAATTATGATTTTGCGTACTACGAATTATGATTTTGCGTACTACGAATTGTGATTTTGGGTACTACGAATTATGATTTCGCGTACTACGAATTGTGATTTTGCGTACTACGAATTATGATTTTGCGTACTACAAATTGTGATTTTGCGTACTACGAATTGTGATTTTGCGTACTACGAATTGTGATTTTGCGTACTACGAATTGTGATTTTGAGTACTACGAATTATGATTTTGCGTACTACAAATTGTGATTTTGCGTACTACGAATTATGATTTTGCGTACTACGAATTGTGATTTTGCGTACTACGAATTATGATTTTGCGTACTACGAATTGTGATTTTGGGTACTACGAATTATGATTTCGCGTACTACGAATTGTGATTTTGCGTACTACGAATTGTGATTTTGCGTACTACGAATTATGATATCGCGTACTACGAATTATGATTTTGCGTACTACGAATTGTGATTTTGCGTACTACGAATTGTGATTTTGCGTACTACGAATTGTGATTTTGCGTACTACGAATTATGATTTTGCGTACTACGAATTGTGATTTTGCGTACTACGAATTGTGATTTTGCGTAATACGAAATATGATTTTGCGTACTACGAATCGTGACGTGCTACGTACCAGCTGGTCAGTTGTATCGTTGGCACCGATGTGTTCGTCATCTAGGTTAAAAACTGCCACAGGTCGGAAGTCGTACCCCGGTGTGTAATTCGCTTCTTGTAAACTGAGTAGCGTCAGATTAGCCCCGACGTCTCCATGCTGGTCGATCTTTGAAATGATTCCTGTTGGGCCTGATATTTAATAACATTCAATAACGCTAAGGGCAGCATATATTCCTCAAAAAGTGCAAAACATGAATGTGTAAGTTGGTTACATTCGTGGGGGTGGGGGGGTAATTACAACACAACTTAATACTCACTTCTGTATACCATTCCAAGCGTTTTCTGAATAATAGCTTCCCCGTCAACTATAGAACCGCCTTCATCGAGAACCTGTTGCAAAGCACGTGCGTACACCCATACTGCACTGTAAAGATACGCCGACTCTGGGGCAACCTAGTGGGAATGCAATATTGAGCGATGCGTTTCAGTGGGTTATTATTAAAGAGACTGTTCTTGTAAAAATCCAATCTAATGTATGTGTGTGGTATTTCAGTTTATTATATTATAAGATTCGCGCTCGTTTAGCATCGATGCCCGATGACAGAACACAGTCACGGTCCTAATCCTAAATCTACCGTCAACGTAATCTTCTTGAGATCACTTCAAGCGCATTAATTATACTGGCCAATTAACTGAGAATATTTCATTTCTCATTATTCAGCATTGTCAAATTAAAGCACGTGCCGTTATCATATAAAATCTGAATGGATGTATAATGAGGTAATATCGAGATACGATCTATGAACGTTTATCAAATTATATGTTCTAGCAGACGGGGTGCATAATCGTCCGTTTCGAATGTTTAGTAAAGACGTTATATGCGTCGCAAGTTTGCTACCATTACATAATATTCAGACATTCTCGAAATCTAGCAAGAGGAGTTGGGTTACTGTAATGTTACAAATTCTGAAATACAAATATGTGATCACCGATTTAATAATTAAAACAATTGAGTATGAACTCGTAAAACTACATCAACACTGAAAACGCTTCATTTGTCATACCATAGCATTTGGTGCGTTGAAACCAAAAGGTGGATTTTGACGATATTCTTTGCACTTTTCAACAAAATCGGCGTAGCCTTCTGGATCTGCAGGTGGTCTGGGCGCCAGTATCAACAGAGATCGGGCACTTCGGGTTCTCAAAGGAGATGGGTAGTTTTCGTAAATATCTATGGACAAAAATGAAAGGAACACCCGAGTTGTAAATACACATAACTGCGGCTGAAATCTACATCGTCGTAGATGCGGATGAAACGAAACGACTAGAACACTTTAAACAGGGGCGGATACACGATTTTTTTATGGGGGGGTCCAAACTCCAGAATCGCCAGACTAAGTTAATGATTTTTTTTTATATTATACAAAAACAAATTGAATAAATTTTCCAACGCCTCCCCCCTCCAAGAAACCCCCCCCCCGCCACTGTTAAACCATACAAACAAGCTCGTATGTTGGACGAATTCTGGTTTTTGGTAACACTGACACGTGTCGACAGTCTCTGGCGTGTACGCCAACTGATACTAAGCAGTAGCCCCCCCCCCCCACATACTCACCATCTCGATAAAGATAAGGCTTATCTGGATTCACGGTATATTCCTCTGTGTCGACTGTTATAACCATATACTCGCCGTTCGTCAGCAGACCCATCGTTTCTAACCCGCCCATGAATGCCAGTCTGGCGTACTGATGACATAGAAGTATATAAACTGCAATAAACGTGGTGACACGTTAGTTTTGTGTAACATCTTAGATAAACAATGAACGCAACATATAAAAGTATATCGCCCCATCATCGTGAACTGTTTAACTTTTATTGGATTGGCATGAATCCTTTCACAGGACAATTGGGTGGTATTTAGCATTGAAAGGTATATACACACACAAGCGTAATACTTACTTCGAGTGGTTTGGTAAGTCTCTTCGATAATTGGATCAAATAAGCGGGGCTCCTCTTCTTTGAAATACAACGGTATGTAATCTGCTTCAAAAGTACGCTGCGACTCTATAGTGATATTATTTGCCGGCAGTATTTCAAGTAGTCGATTAGCGGTACTAGTCCATGGAGCATCGAGTCCGTTCACGATAGTTACGGAATCCCAGTTGAATTCTTGCAACACTGATAATATGGAGCTGGCGTAAAGAGCGTCTGTTGGGTACGTTCTTGAAAATGTTGGATACAGTTCTTTGTCGCTGACCGCACTCGCTGAACATGCCTAAAAACAAAACAAAAAAAGATGTAATATTTTCGTCGATTTGTTTTTTTCTAAATTTACAAATAAACAGCTGGCTACTAGTATAAGATAATCGGGAAATGGCCGCGATGTGCATTGCGCCCTCTGACGATTCGCTTGGTCTAACGATCGGACAAGCCACAATACAGCAGTTTCGTCGAACAAATCTACACTGACGCGAAATCACGTTGACTACTAAATACGCGGTGTTACCAAGGATACTAACAAATATACAGAGAAAACGTAATGTAGCAACCAGCAAAACAACTTTAATTGTTATGAAAACAATTCCACTCGGCAGTAATCCCAGTAATCTAGCGGCCATTGAATCTATATACAATTGTCTCTCGTTGACAGCTGTATTTCAATTTGCCTGTTATGTTGAGCTTGTGGTCGCAAGAACAAAGTAATTGTTGTGTAGTAAATAGCAATCGTCCCGCCAGTGTAATTATCATCGGCGTCCTACCAATTGTGTTAAAACCCAGTACATATACAATATTATAATGGCAAACATAGGGAACTTTGGGATTAAGCCGCCATTATTTGGGATTTTCTTAATCTCTGAAATCCCAAAACTTGAAAGTGCAGGTCTGATTCAAAGTGTGTCACCGAGACCCATAAAGAAAGAAGTAAGAACAAAACCATAGCGGTATTCTCACGAAAACTACACTATTCGACGGCTTTTAATTCTGAGATGAACAGCCTTATTTGATTTTTTTTATTTATGTACACAATGCACCTCGGTTCGATGGTAGATACCGTCGGTGTAACCCCAACGACCACGGGGTTGTGAAACTAATATTTTGATACTGCCAAGGGGCCAGTTTTTACATGTCTTTGGGCAATGCATCGGCGACTTTTGGTTGTTTGACCTTTCGCCGTCTCAATTCATTAATGTAATGGCATCGTGCTGTTGGTAGTGTAAATACGATATCTTTTTTCACAATGTGTGTCATTCAGGAGTGCCTGGTGTTACCGCGTCTATCCCCGCCCTTCCTAACACACCCATGAACATCAGCGGGCACCGCGACGATTTATTCTGCTTGTGTGTGTAAGATTTCTGCTGAAAATTGTCTCGACTGAGTCGTCGATGTATTATGCGAAGGCGCATCATAAAAATGAGTTATGCTTCTTCTTAAAGAAGTTTTCGATGCGTTCAATTGAAAATAGCCTGGATTGCTCAGCCGAGTCGATATCATGCTTGTGGCCGGCGGCGATGTAACGTATCGGCACACACAGACATTACCGGTCAAATTTGTATCGATCCCTTTTGAAATAAACACACACTCTATTCTGTTCGCAGTCTCGTTTATTGTCCCTTTGTGTGAGAAAAAAAACAACAATTTTTTCCGTTTAACAGATTCAGTGAAACGCGTATATCGATGAAATCATGTTGCCATGACGACGACTAACTGATACTCGTTTTAGTGCGTATATGAGGTCATATAAAAGTGATACAATCTAAACTGATTCAAGCACAATCCAACAGTTTTATCAGACGTTACTTGCGATGTTTTTTTAATTTTTATATTCGCGCTGTTGTTATCTTGAAACACTAAATTGTCATTTTTATTTCTTTTAAACGATTCCAATGAGAAAACCACCGATATATGTTTTGACCTTAAAACCACCTTCAGTACTTGACTGTACATAATTATTTTTTTTATTTTGGGGCAATTTGTTAAAATGGAATGCGCTTTTTAGCGCATGCGCATTGCAACACCTCTCCTCCCAAACAACAAGTGGTTCGAAATGAACCAAATGTGTTCACAGGAGCAACAACGTTTTGTACTCACGTTTCTCACTTAAATACATTACAATTCCGATGGCTGTTGGAGGGTTTTTGTCACTGCATGTCCGTCTTTTCGTCTGAGGGCGATAATTATTTTGTTTAACGACAGCGTTATTGGAACGTAATTACACTTGTTAATTGTTGTACCTCCGCGGATGAAACCATGTCAAAGTCGGTGATAATACATATCAAAAATCAATAACAAATGTTGTAAATACAGTACCACTAAACATTTGTAATATTTAATAATATTAAATATTAACACAACAAGAAAATGTGTAGATGTCGTTAACTCGTCACTATGAGCGATGAACGAGGTGAAAGTTAAATTTGTTTTCAATCTTTACCAGAACCGTCCGTCGTTTATCCTTTCGTTGACACGCATGGTTAGTGGTGGGTAAAATAAAATGTACATATCCGTAGGCGATCGAATACAGTGTCTTTACATGTCGATGAATAAAAAGTTGTTTAAATAACATAGGATTAGAGATTAATCACCCAGGGGTGAGAGCAGTAGGCAAGTCGACGTGACAGTAGTTACCGCTGGGAATGATATGTTTCTCTCGTACTCAAGAAAGAACAAAACGCATTGTTCTGCCAACAAAAAATATGACCCAATTCTGAATAAGAGAGACTTGATAAAAGACAAAATTAACCTCACTGCTAGAATTATAGAAGAAAGTAACATGCCCAGACGTATGCAAGACGTTTCCAATCAGCAAAGTAATCAATAACTTAAATTGCTAAGACCATTCGACTCAAACAAAACGTTGGTCCTGAGTACACAGGGTAACACTCTCAGAACTTGTCGCCACACAGAATGCACGTCCCATCACTTGTCGACAAACTCTCTTAGTGAGCCACACAGAATGCACGTCCCGTCACTTGTCGACACACTCTCTAAGTGAGCCACACAGAATGCCCGTCCGTCACTTGTCGACATGTTGTCTTAGTCAGCCACTCAGAATACACGTGATGTCCCGTCACCAACACACATAAAGTCATATTTGAAGCATGAATGCAGCGATTCGATGACTTTACCGGGTTGAGTACATGTGTACTTAGTACTTAGTACTTAGAAGCAAGCGTTCGAATTACTATCGTCACATCAAACCCATTCCCTTCATTTCTAAAATTGAAATATTTATAAATTTCGACGAGCGCATTGCGCAATGACGTTATTTGAAAGTGTTCTAATGTTATTCCATCGCCAAATAGTTTCAGTTTGAATTGCGAAATTTATAAATATCTGTTGCATCGATATACGTTGCGTGGCATTAACTATGGAAATCATGACGACAACACGACAATAACACTACCCAGAATTATTTATTTTGCAAAAAATTCCCTGTACTCCCTGTCAATATAAGATTGTTGGGGTCATCAGCCTATTTCAAGAAAATTCTAGTTTTGGTGAATATTATTGTTTCGTGTTATCATGAGACCATAGCAGCATAATTGTATACAATAAACCAATAAACATTCAATTTGTCATGCGATTTATGGCAAAATTTCGGAAAAATTATGAGTTGGCTTCTACCTGAAATAGTATATTTCGTGATGTAAAATAACAAAAAATACAGCACGTAGGAAAAAAATTGAATAAAAAATCATAACGAACACGGCTAATACTTTCACATGAACATCGCGATATAAACGACGTAACTGGATAAAGTCAACCATTCGACCAATCGGCCAATGAAAAGCAATTGTATTAATGGGCGCTCTTCGCCCTCTGGAGGCCGATACATCCAATAATGTTTGAGTGTGAATGTAATTTACTTGATTGTTTTAGGCCGACCGTCCATTAAAAACATAAACCCATTACCAAGTGACTGTTCGCCTAAGTCCAGTGGGAAATTAGTTAAGGAAAGTAAGTCAACACAAATGTCTATTGCTTAGTGTCAGAAATAGTACAGATATATCCACTTAACATTTAACATTTTTCCATTCAAAGCGGCGGTTAAAATCTACTTACCCAATCACCTGTCTGTCGGTGCGCGCGGATGATTACAATTTGCGGAACAGTACCGACATCGCATCGACTTAAACCACTGAAAAAGTACTCAATTCAACTGCAAAGTGTCGTAGTATTATTCCACGCTACTTTTTATTTACTTTATGTAGGCGATTTTCTTAGGACTTGTATGTTACACGTAGAGTAATTCTAAACGGCCGCGTATCGGCCGCAAGGTTCGCGTCTTGCGGTATAGAGGGCGCTAATTGAAGACAGCCGCAACAGTTTGAATTTCTATAGAACTCAAACGTCATTATCAGTGAATGGTTACATACTAACAGTTTTGGTGTCAGTACTACTGTATGTTAAAAAAATCGATTACATTTCATGAAAATGTCAACTTGTGTTTCGATCATGTTGAATTACTAGTATGGGTGAAAACAAATAAATCAATCACAGACAAGGAAATCTCAAACAGACACATTCCGATCCCCTTCCTAGCTCGTTTCGACTCCCAGTTCACTGGTGTTTTTTTGAAATTCGCGATAGAAAATTCGGACTCCACATGTTGCTTGAACAAAAGCAGTGATTTTTTGACCACATCAATACACACCTGAGCTGTTCGTTCCTTCGCTCAGGATTAGCGAGACCATTGATTCCCGGGACCGTTGAGACCACGTTCTTAGTCTCAAGAATCGCGAGACGTGGGAGTAGCAAAGACTATTGTGGCGATATTAAGCGCAAGGTGAAAGAGAATAATGAAACAATGTGGATTTAAATCCAAAACATTGCTTGAGTATAGCGATCTTACAACGCTTGTATCAATCATCGTTACCAGTGATTTTTTTTGTAGCAATTATAACTATTTGCATCCTAACGCAAACCTACTGAAATCAAAGGGCGCCACATACAATAAATAATACATGCTGATACGTACGTTAAAAGACACTTAATATAAATGTAATTATTAGAACTAAGAAATGAACTGAATGTTCAGCGTGCACAAAGGCGCATTGTGTTCACAGCTCATGACGTCCAATTAAGTTTAAATGGAACCGTTGGAAACTATCACGTGTGTTGAAAAGGGCATAATAAATGTTCTTTCCCCAAGCAACATACATAGAAAACGATGTCGGCATTTCACTTGTATTACAATGAATATTGTTCATTTCAATTTGTATCTCGACACTTGTTAGTCCGAGTTTTACATGGTATATGAGGAGGATAATAGAC